CTAAGGATGGATTCAGGCCCATCCTTAGGAATGGACATATCCTGTAGGATTTTGGGCCACTCTTTCTGCTCAACATTATTTCTCCAGGGATAAAGACAAGATGAAAACAGCCTTAAACTCTTGAAGGGTAGATGGGTGGAACCAAAATCTAACAAGAAAAATACATATCTTCTCTTCTGAGGGTGGATAGAAAATTAGGAAAGAGAACTAGAGAAGCTGCCCTGAGAATAAATGCTGAAGTTATGGTGATTTTGCAAAGATCAAATATGAAGGGAGTAAGTATCTCTGCTTTTTTGAAATGGGATTAGAATTAAATATGTGGGTGAATGACCATTGTTAGGAAATGATTTGGGTGCAAAGAGATTAACCCTATTGATCCCCAATTTTATTGGATGATAAACCACATCATTGAAAATGAAGATATACAGTATGCCTTTTAGGACCAACTGTTCACATTAAAAAGCAGCCAAGAAATACAACAGAAACTACTACCGGTAGCACAACCGGTAGTAGAGTAGCAATAAAGCCTTTGGAAAAGAGATTCACATGCAAAGATATGCATATACCTAGAAAGATCACAATTGTGCAGGCACAGAACTTCCCCAGGAAACTCTGTGGAAGCACAAGTTGGACTTTGAATAGGCAAGGATAGAAAGAAGATTGACAGTTTTTAACTTTGATGTTGGACAATATCACCGATTGCCAAAAGACTGGATCATGGGACAAATCACTCCGAGATACAAATAAACACATAGAAAATATTGTTCATTGGATAGATTATATAAAGATTAAACTTTTTCGAAGTATGGGGGATATCGTCCCGGAGAAAATCTATATGGTCGCCAGGAGTCGACACATAATTGATGGCACATAATCATTAATCATACCTATTTGTCAAATGTTGTAAATAATTTTTCCTGAGATCACGTGTCAATAACCCCGCCTAGGGACAGATTTGGGAGTTTCCAGAGAGAAAAACTGAGGATCTCTCCTTCGCAAAGGAAGGGTCCTCCTGCCGCGATTGGGCGCTCCGATCCCGCCGAGCTGAGCCCCCACTGTCCCCCGGGAATCCCTCCGTGTCTCGGAAGGCCAGAGGGGAGCCGAGCGCTGACAGTTGGGCTGGCGGCTGGGATGCGCCATCCGACTCGGCTGCAGCCACAGCGGCACCACCAGAAATCTGGTACCTGCTTGGCAAACTGCGGCGGCAGCGCCCAGGGAGCCGCCCAGAGGAGGAGGGGGAGGGAGCCCTTGTCTTTGGCAGCCTCGCGGCTCCAGGCGCGAACAATTCCCCTCCCGGCTTTGCCAGGGGCAGGGGGGCTCTTGGAGGGGGAGCGATCGGACTAGGGAAAGGCCTCTTTTGGTCAAACTTGGGGAGATGATGGGTCCTCGCAAAGGCCCGGCCGGGAAAGAGCGGATCCGCTGCCAATTGTGGGAATCCCGGGGCACAGCTTGGCTGCCAGCCTCCCTGGCAGCCGCCACTGTTTGGAGAGCCGATCATTTGTACTGTACACACACACGGCCAACTCCTGAAACCCGAAACGGCCGCTGCCTGATGCCAACCCGATTAGCGGAGCTGCTTTGCCCTCAGGAATTGCCTCGCCGGCTTCCAGCGGCAGGTCAGGCAGCGGGCAGGGGAGGCAAGGGGGACCCCGGGCTTTGGGAACTGAGACGAACCTCTGCCCGCCAGGTTGGCTAATGGTGGGGGAGTGTAGCAGAAAAAGAAGAAATTATGCGGAAATGTATTTTACTGTACTGATGCCAGGGTTGTTGTTGTTGTGGCCCAAACCTTTTTTGTCCCAGCTAGATCTGCACATTGCCTGGACTGGCGGGAAAAATCATCTACATACATCTATAGTTTTATCAATGCTCACGGAACGTTCTTGCTTAAAGACACGAGTCATTTCAAAACTGAGTTGATGCTTTTTGTCCAGTTTTTTTTCTCCCCATAACAGTGCAACAAGTTGTTCAGTCATGGTTTGCTTTGTGGGTGTGTATTTTCATTTGCTAGAAAATGTGTTATGTTCCGGGGGGGGAGGTCCTCTCTGCTGTCTATTAATTTGGGTTACTTTGCTTGTAAACTTTAGAATCGCCCTTTCGTGACCGATTCAGCAGGGCGATTCCAATACGCTCGCAAAAAGGATAATAGTGCGAATCGCTCAGGGTTGACACAGCGACACAATTACGCAGAAATTTCCAGCCTTTCTTTCCCAGTCAAGGTATTCTCACATTCTTCTCCGGATCTGGTAACTGTTTTCCGACCACCAAAAATTCCTCGCTGGGAAGTTTCAGCCCCGGGCTGTAGAAAGGCACCTGCACAAGCCACTGCCCCTTTGCGCTCTTGTTTATGCGAAGGGCGAGGCGGCTCATGGACGCAAGCTGAAAGGAACCTCTCTGTGCCTTTTGGCTCTGACCGTTCCTCGGTGCTGATTCAATGACTCTAGATACTATCCAGACTGCATTCTCCGCCCTTAAGAAATATACTTTCCTCCCAAAAATGCTGAAAAGCACCCTCATTTCAGTGGAGCGCCGTCCAATTTTGCTTAGGTTGGGGTAAGGGAAATGACACTCTTTAGCCCACAAGCTTAAAAACTTAAGATATCCTTTCAGAGACGATAGTATGAAATTCCAAGATTTCTCTGCACCAATGTCAGGTAGCCTTACATCACATTTTTACCCATCAGCTCTAAATGCTATTATTTTAAAGCACTTCCCCGCCTCCCTACGCTGATAAATTCTAGCTTTAATTGCTCTGGAGGGGAATGCTGTTTTACAATGAGGTCCAATTGATTTCAACAGATCTTACCCGAAGGCTAAGACTTTCCCTACTGGCCCGATATACTAATCTAGAGGCACTTTCAGGTTCGTTGTACTGTATGACCATAAATGCACGTATAAACTATCAGCCATGGTGGAGATGTCAACTTTCGTTTTCCTATCTTTTGTATAGTATTTCTAGTACCAGAAAGTGACTTCCGAATTGCTGCCTTCCTCTTTTCAGTTCAGGAAAGGTGCAAGATTATGCTACTTGTTTGAGACAAATTAAACACTTGGCTCTTAGTTGAAAGGTAGTAGGATGTGAACTGAACTGTGCCATTCTCCAAAAAAAAAAAAAAACCGACACACACATGGAAATGGATTTTGAGCCAAGGCCAAAGGATACCTGAGGCTAAGGCAGCCTTAGAACATAGAACAACAGAGTTGGAAGGGACCTCGGAGATCTTCTAGTCCAACCCTTGCTCCAGCAAGAGACCCTTGCCCAGTCTCTTTTTGGAAGCCTCCGGTGATGGAGCACCCACAACTTCTGAAGGCAAGCTATTCCATTGGTTGATTGCTCTCACCATTAGGGAATTTCTCCTTAGTTCTAGGTTGCTTCTCTCCTTGGTTAGTTTCCAACCATTGTTTCTTGCTTTGCCTTTTGGTGCTTTGGAAAATAGTTTGACCCCTCGTCTTTGTAGAATAGCGCTATCACGTCACCCCTAGTCCTTCTTTTCATTAGATTAGACCTACCCAATTCCTGTAACCGTCCTTCGTCTGTTTTAGCCTCCAGACCCCTAACCATTTGCGTTGCTCTTCTCTGCACTCTTTCCAGAGTCCCAACATCTGGAACACCGACCTTCCTGCCTCTACTCTAGCAGAAAGTGCAGGCACCACTTTTCAAAGTTTGGAAGATTTCCTCAACGGAGCCAGCCAGCATCGCCGTGCCCTGAGAGGCGTGGTCTTTTCTCTCACATTGTCCTGCCGGCAATAACGAGGACAGGCGCGAGCGTCTTCAGAGAGGAGGGCGAGGGGGAGCGAACTAGGGGAGGAACTGAATCCGATTCCCAAGCCGGGAGCCAAAGCGAGCCGCCCGTCCTTCAAGTGCCTGCGAGGAGCGGAGAGAGACCTGCGTGGAAGGCTCCCTCCGGCTTCGCCTCGCTCTCGCTTCGCCGCGGGCCTCCCTGGCCCCCACCTCGTCCGCCGAAGGAGCGGGAGAAGAAGGCGACCATTCGCAGCTCCGTCTCTTTCCCGAGCCCAGTCATGTGACGCGAGGGAAGCGGAGCGAAGCGGGGGGCTCTCGGACTCGGAGCCAGCACCGGCACAAAACCGAGCTGAGAAGCTCCGTCACACCACAAGCCCAGCCGCCGCGCCGCCTCGCCAAAGCCAACCCGCCGGCCGCTCCCGCGCCTTTCAGCCCAAGGGCACCGGCCACCGCCTGATTTGGCTTCCGAGGCATCCTCCGTTTCCGTCCGCTTCTTTTCCAAAGGAACCGGTCGGGTCGCTGCTGCTTTTCCACTTCAATCCAGCAAGGTGGGAAGACGCGGGAGCCTCTTTCTTGCCATCCCTGGGAATCTCAAAGCGGATCTCGAAGTCTCACAGCCAGGCGTCTGAGGTCGTCGCTTTCGGCCGGTGCGAGAACAGCCCAGAAACTAGGAAGCGGCGCTTGGGTGCGGCTCCTGGCGGAGAGAAGAGACGGGTGTGAGGGAAGGAAAACTGGGGGGGAAAGGCTGAAAGGCGAGCCCGGCGGTCGTTGAGGTTCGTCGGGAACTTGTGCTGGGTCAGAATCGAGGCGAAGATGGCGGGAACGGAGCGGCTGGGCTCTGGCGCTTCTGCGCTGAAGCGCTTGGCGAGGGCTTGACTCCGAAGCGGGGCAAAGGGAGTTTTAAGGAAAGGCTTTTTCTTACCTTTGGCGGGAAGGCACCTTCGGAATTAAGCGGCTTAGTTTCGAGCTCAGGGGAAAGGGGAGCGCCGGCCGCCGGGCTTTGGCGGGAAAAAACGACGTGAGGGGAAAGCAGGCAGCGAAGGCGCCACCCGTGTTGCGCAGGCGGACAGGGGAGGAGGAGGAGAAGTTGCAAAGTGTCCGCCGACTGACTCCCTTGGAAATGCCGACTGAATGTACCGAAGAGCCAGCGGTTCTCCTTGACAGATCCTCCTGCTCCTCTCCTGAAGTGGTGAACGGCCCTTTCTGGTCCTAGAACGCGGTCCTTCTGGGCAGGACAGCCGGAGGAGGGTAGGAATGTGCCATGCCTCGGCCGGGCAAGAGCTCGTACAGTGATCAGAAGCCTCCTTACTCTTACATCTCGCTGACGGCCATGGCCATCCAGCACTCGAGTGAGAAGATGCTCCCCCTGAGCGACATCTACAAGTTCATCATGGAGCGCTTCCCTTACTACCGCGAGCACACGCAGCGCTGGCAAAACTCGCTCCGCCACAACCTCTCCTTCAACGACTGCTTCATTAAGATCCCGAGGCGACCCGACCAGCCCGGCAAAGGCAGCTTCTGGGCGCTGCACCCGGACTGCGGGGACATGTTCGAGAACGGCAGCTTCCTCAGGCGCAGAAAGCGCTTCAAGGTGCCGCGGCCGGAGCCCCACATGCCAGCAGCGGCGGGCAAAACAGGAGGGGTGCTGCACCCCCACCTGAGCCACTATTTCCACCCTCATCACCCGCCGCCGCCGCCTCCGCCGCCTCCGCTTCAGCCTCCAGCGGCAACCAAAGGACATCCAGACTCGGCGGCGGCAGTGGCGGCGGCGGCGGCGGCTGCTGCCGTAGGAAGGCTGCCTCAGTTCCAGCCTTACAGCCCGGCTCCTGGCTTCAAGCATCCCTTCGCCATCGAGAACCTCATTGGCCGAGACTACAAAGGAGTGATCCAGGGCGGTGGGTTGCCCTTGGCTTCCGTAATGCACCACCTGGGCTACCCAATGGCCGGTCAACAGATCAGCACCATGGTCAGCTCGGTCTGGCCCCACGTGGGCATGATTGAGCCTGCGGGTGGCATTCCCCTTTCGCCAGGAGAATACGGACCTTTCGGGATGCCGGTCAAGACCATCTGCCACCCATCGACACAGACACTGCCTGCAATCCCTGTGCCAATCAAGCCCACCCCGTCCATTGCGCCATCCACTGCCATCTCTGCCCTGACGGTCAACCATGTCACACAGCAGCTCTGTCAGACAACGTCTCCCAGTGTCTCCTCTTCCCTTCTTGAACAGATTCCGCCAAATTCCTCCAATGGCAAAATCTCCTTACATTCTGCCTTGGTACATTCATAGAATGGAAGATGGAGAAGTATGACTGTTGACACAATCCTATCGTCTAAGATACAAGCACAGGGCAAAGATTGGTCTGGGCCTGTTGAGTGTCTTTGGAAAGAACATTTTGTATTATTATAATTACAATTATCATGTATTGTGTCTGTTGTAAAATCAGTGTTCAGAGCCAGGTTCAGGTAAGAATTTCTGTGTTCAATGTTAGCCATCATAAACTCAGAAATTGTCCTATTAATTCTGTGAAATACTTAAAGCTGTATTCAGTTAACACATGAATTGCTATATAATGACACAAGCACGCATGCACGCACACACAGACACCATACTCAAGCCTCAAACTCCACTCCCAAAAGAAACTTTATACACAATTGTGGTAAATTTTGGCTCCCTGAATTTCTTGAAAATAAGTTACCCTTAACCATTGTTGCAATAGAAAAGAATCAAGATTACATGAATGCCTATTAGAATTCCACCAGTACTGGCTCAGCCTAGTAATTTCAATGAGACTTATTTTCATGTTAGCATGTACAAAAGTGAGGTGTAGTTGGATTGAATTTGTAAATATATATACATATCTCAAATGAAGTATTTTAGCACTGTAGGTTATGAGCTATAAAAATCAAAGAAAATGTTGCCATTGATTGGGGTTTGCCACTTGGTCTGTAAAATAAAGATTCCCCCCCCCACCATGCTCTTGCAAGTTTAAAGTATGCAAGCTTTTAAATCACACAGAATTCTTCATTAACTTATCCAATCCTTCTTATTTCAAACTATTAAGTTTAGATCAAAAGTAACAGTGTTAAACATGGATGAAGTAAAGTAGATAGCTTTTAAAACTTAAGGAAGCTAAATAAAGCAGCAACAGAATGTCATGATTTCAGGAGACTGATATTAAGATTAAAGGTTTAATTAAAATTTATTCTTGTTATATTTTTGTTACTGTAATTTTGATAATTTTGAATATTAGAGCAACATGAATTTCCCAGGGCCTAAAGAGTATTAAAAATGACAATAGTGCTATGGATTGGGAATATTACAACTAAGATTTATATGATGATTTAGAGTCTCTCTCAGTTATATATTAACTCTGTTTCTTTGCAATTTTATTTTTCTTCATTTTGGGAATGAAGAAGAAACAATTAAAACACAGAAATAAGTGGAGATTAAAAAGAATTTGGGGTTTAAATTTGCTTTGTATTCCATTCAGATTGAAAGCATTGCCATCAGATGGTACAGTAAAGAGTGCAGTAAAGCATAAGTTTAAGTTCCTGAAGCTAAGGTGTAAACTTGTTGCCCTTTTGACCCTTACTTGGAAATAGGTTTCCGCCTATCAACACATCAATGTTATATTGCTGTATACATGTGCAAAACTTGCATTTTTCTGTTTGTTTTTTTAACAAAAAAATCTTCTTGTGAATAATGCTTATCCAAACATTTTTATTATCTTCAAAAGTACTATTCTGCTTTGTGTGTGTGTGTGTGTGCTTTGATCTCTCCTTTTCCCACTTACTTACATACTTACCTACCAGATAAGCACTTTACACAAAGAAGTTTAGATGAAATAAGAGAATGTTCTGTTTCCAGGAGTCAGCTTTTGAGCTTTGCTTTTGGTTGGAATTTGAGTCTCAGCTGGTTTGTGAATGCTGTAGTTGGAGCTTTATTGTACATGGTTGTTTTCATTAAAAGTGATTTCTTGGCTTCCTGCTCTAACTCTAAGTCTTATGATTTATTAACCTGTGTATGCTGGGATGCAACTGTCTGCATTGATAATCTTCACTATGCCACATGAAAGTGTATTTGGAGGCCAAAGATGTTCTCTTGAATTGAAGAACAATTAATACATATGTTAACCCTTTGACTAAATGTCAGAGGTTAATTTGTGATAGTTAGAACAAAATCCTCTGAAATCCTACTTAAAAATGCATTGGTTTGTGCAAATGTATAGTTCTGAGAGAAAATCTCCACCATCCTCTGTAGCTTTTCTGTGAACTCATTATATGCGTCTACAAGGAAATCCCATTGAAGCCATAATATGCTTCGTGCTGAAGTGTCAGCTAGCACCAGAGTGTTTCAATTTTCCTAAGATTAAATTGCATCAGCTTTTGTATTTTTGTTTATGCAAGAAGGGGCAGATCAAGAGAGGCTCCACTAAAAGGATAAAGTGAGCCCTTAAAGGATGTGCTCATAGTTTCTTTCTTAGGATTTACAGAATAAATAGCATGTTTTCTATATTGTAGTAACATTCCCAGCAGACTGAAGTATAGTTCTGGAACTTTAGCTTTTCAGTCTAGCTAGCCATTTATATCCCTAACACATCCATAAATCTCTAACTGAAAACTTAAGTTGTAACTCACAAGATATTGTTTTGCGTGTATTCTACCCAGATAGGAGATGATTATCTCATTTGATGCTGGGTAATATATATCTTTTGCCTCATTTATTTTTCAGTCACTAATCTACAGCAATAATCATGATGAACCTTGTATGGAAATAAATTGTGCTACAGCAGACATTTTTATACCTAAATTACAACCTGGTTTATTTAAAAAAAAAGTAACTTAAAATCTGAGTTATATTTTTCATGCAATTATATTCGATGATCAGACCAATACAATGAACTTTGGTAGTAAAATGATGTATTAGTCTCTATACCCATCAGAACTTCTTGAAAACTAGAATTATACCACTACATCCAATTTTAAATTCAGTGTAATTTGGAGCTAAAATTAACATTTCAGCACAATTTCATTTATTAAGTTTAGGACATTTTGAGATGCTTTGAATGTTTCCTTGGTTTTTAAATGTCTTTCATACTTTCTTTTTCAGGAAGTTTCTCTCCACAGAAAATTTGAGCACACATAATCCAAGGTTGGTTCTTACCAAATTACTTGGAACAAATAATAAAAAAACCCCAATGCCCTTAGAAGTTTGTTTTCTGGAATTAAAGAAGAGTTTTAATGACATAATTGTATCACAGATTTTTGCATAATAAGATATATGGGGAAATTCATATTAAAATCTTAGTGATAAATCAATATACCTATCAAAATATTGGAAGACTATATTATATAGTCTTAATGAAATAGCACTTACATAAGCGCAATGAATCATTTGGGGAGGGGGATGAACTCCGGAATCCCTGCAACAGGCTCTGATATCAGGCAGGCTTCAGTTCTTATTCCAGATGAACGGAGTAACTTTAATCTCACCCCATGTACAAATGCTCCTTAGTTTTGTTAGGAGAGAGTTGGAGACCCGTATTTTGTCCTATAATTTTCATAAACTGAGTTTTATTCCCATTACTAGAGAAAACATCGTTTTTCCTTTATTTCCCTCAAAAAAAAAAAAAAACCACCACCTTACAAATAGGTAAATCACACTGCCCACCCTTGTTAAAGAATTACAAAATGAGCCACCACTTTTCCTACTTTGAAAAAAAATGCGAAATATGGGATGACTCTTGGTTCAATAAATAAATGACTTGGAGCCGTTTCATATAATAAGGAAGGAGAGGCAAGCGGTAAAGATAGCCTTGAAACGGAATTGTTGATTAGAAAAAAAAAAAAAAAAAACGATTGAGGTGAGACAGCTTGGGAACGGAGTCGTAGAAAAAGTGAGTCGGAAGAGTGAGCTCACCCTTCTTCTCTACCGCCTGGTCTCCTCGGGTGAAAGGCGCCGGGAGTGCGCTGGAGGAGGAACCTGACTGGTGGGAAGGACACAAACAGGGAGCTCAGCTTTCCTTTAGCCCAGCTTGAAGTCTTCCAACAGCCCTACCCAAAAGAGACAGTCCTGGCGTTGAACACCTTAAAAACTGAAGAATAAATTGGACCGAAGTAGCCTGATTGACTCAGAAAAGGCGTTCGTGAGAACGGCTGTAAATCCCCGGTGTAACGAGTCGGCTTAATTTCAGCTGGGCAGGGACTGTCTACTCTTGAAGTGGAATTCTCTTTCTACTAACATGTCAAAAGATATAAGCGGTTTCTGGTTTTGAGATCTGCTGTTGTAAAACGGTGTTTTAACAATTTCAGTATATTGTAAATTGGGACTGTCAATGAAAATCTAAGTAGGTAAGAGTATGGGAAGGGAGTCACCGTATTTACTGTCATACTAGGGAAGTGATTTAATGACTTATCCTTTAGCTTAAAAAGTCTGTTGGTTAAAAAAGAGGCGACAAATTACCAAAGGAACCTGATTTATGTATTTATTACAAAGGATTAAGCGTTTATCTGGGTAAGGACTTCATTTTACAGAGCAAACAAAATGTTCCCTTAACAATTATATTGATGATGCAGGACATTAAAACCTATCATAGGGCATTAAAATTATAAACATAAATTTCTTTTAGGTTTTTTTGGGGGAGGCGGGGTCTGGTAAGATTTGATAATTACTGTTTAGGATACAATCATACTATAAAGTTGAAGTTTTGCTGGTGGGCATTAACTTCCCTCCGTCCTCTAAATTTGATGAGGATCAATGCTCCCTCAAATAGAGTTTTCTCGGGACTGAGAGCTTGTTGTTGGAGCCCAAATCCCACGTATCAGGCGTTGCAGATGCTTTCTCCCGTGTCCAGTTGACAATCACTGACCCCGCCTGGGGTGACATTTGGGAGTTTCCAGAGAGAAAAAACTGGAGGATCTCTCCTTCGCAAAGGAAGGGTCCTCCTGCCACGCTTGGGTGCCCCGATCCGGCCGAGCTGAGCCCCCACTGTCCCCCGGGAATCCCTCCGTGTCTCGGAAGGCCAGAGGGGAGCCGAGCGCTGACAGTTGGGCTGGCGGCTGGGATGCGCCATCCGACTCGGCTGCAGCCACAGCGGCACCACCAGAAATCTGGTACCTGCTTGGCAACCTGCGGCGGCAGCGCCCAGGGAGCCGCCCAGAGGAGGAGGGGGAGGGAGCCCTTGTCTTTGGCAGCCTCGCGGCTCCAGGCGCGAACAATTCCCCTCCCGGCTTTGCCAGGGGCAGGGGGGCTCTTGGAGGGGGGGGCGATCGGACTAGGGAAAGGCCTCTTTTGGTCAAACTTGGGGAGATGATGGGTCCGCGCAAAGGCCCGGCCGGGAAGGAGCGGATCCGCTGCCAATTGTGGGAATCCCGGGGCACAGCTTGGCTGGCAGCCTCCCTGGCAGCCGCCACTGTTTGGAGAGCCGATCATTTGTACTGTACACACACACGGCCAACTCCTGAAACCCGAAACGACGCTGC